TTTCAAAGACGGCACATGACAGCTGATGCACAGCGATGTGCAAAAGTTGAGCCAGTGAGGAAAGAAAATCGCTGCGAGGCTGAGCTGCACAAAGTTGCAATCAAGACGATATCAGTTGAGATAAACACACATCTGTATCACTTCCCTCTTTCTCTTCTGTCATCAGGACGCTTCCAGCTCTGTCTTTAAATCTAAGCTGGGTGTGGACCTTTAGAGCAGCAACAGTCTATCTGATTGACAACTATACTGCTGGTATGCTGCTTTTTTCTGCAATTTACTGCAACACCTGAGCTAAAGGAACAGAAACCTAAATCTGAAGAGCACTGGTGTAAATAACCATCGCTCATCTTCAAAACATCAGATCCCACTTCTGACACCATTGTAACGTTGTCGCAGTCACTCAAGCACCAGACGTTTTGCTCTTGCCAACGATTTATTCAGGAACAATAATCACAGGTCAGCTAACTCCGAGTCACTGTTCGGCCGTGACCCACGCCAGAGCTCCTCAGCCTCACAACAGGTACCTCCCACCACCTCACCCAGACGGAGAAGCTTCTCCACTATCTATCCGTCTAACTATCAATCTATCCATCCATCTATGTATCTTTCAACTCTTCCAGCTCCAAGTCTTTATTTTCAGGTTCTGATCGTCACCTTCTTACGTGGAAACGGAGTCAAACAGAAAGGAGCATCTGCTGGTTTAACTGGCCGAGGAACAAGCAAACTGCTGGTGAGACGATGGAAGACAGCTCAACGTCTCGGGTCACTGAGCAGGAACAAGACCCGAGCTGGTTCAGCTCCATCAAGTCTGTTCCGGTTTTAAGGTTCTTAAAGAACCACAAAGAAACAGCGTGGACTTAACGGTCCAACCAAGAAAAGTACCGAAGGACTCGTCACGGTTACTTCCTCCAGAAACCACATGTTCAGCAGAATCATGGGTTCAGAACTGATGGAGACCTGTTAGATCCACTTCAATGATCTGATACAGGATCAACCTCTAGACCAAGGTACACCCATCTGCTGTCCTGACAGGTCTGATCAGAACTGAACCCACAAAGACAAACCTCCAACGTGAACACAAGACAAAAACATATCTGTAGGCCTCCGTGAAAACTTCTGGAGGTTCCTGCACGTTCATTTCTGCACTGAGCTGGAGATCTGGACTACTGGTGTCTTCTTCGGAGAGATACACCTGCAGATGACGGTCCTTCATACAGGACCATCCAGATTTGTTCTGCAGCAGGACCACACATCCAGCTAACGACACCAAGGACTGTCCTCAAGAAGCTGGACCTGCTCTCAACATCCTGAAGAAGAACTGCATGATGAGAGAACATCTGAGTTTGGTTCAACGAGCCTGGAGGGAAACCACCAGCCGAGCTGCTCCAAGAACTGTCTCCCTTTGCAGTATTCTTACAGCGCGTCTGAAACCTTTGCTCCTCTGAGCTGACGTCTGAACCGACCGTCTGCAGGATAAAAACTGGGATTTTGGTAAATCTCATGTTGACCGCAAACAGCTTAGGTTTGGATTATTTGCACTTTGGACGATAGTTTAGGCTGGAAATAAATAAAACATCTTTACTTTTCCATTCTGTGGAAATCATTACGGAGGACTGGGTTTGTACTGTACACACACACACACAGGACTGACTGTTACCCCAGCTCGAAACCTTCTGGGTCACAGCAGCTTCTCAGAACTTTTCAAAGACCGCCTCGTCTGAACCAAAATGTGGAGCGCCGGCTTTCATTGGGCTCGTTATCTCTCCTCAGGTACTTTATGCAACAGAGCAGCGGGTCAGCAGAAGCACCTTGAACTCGTATGTTCGATTGCCAGGATTGCGTCATGTGTCCTTTATGGCCTGCCCGGTCCGTGGCGGCGGGTGAGGAACAGGTGACTCAGAGTTGCAGTGACAGCTGTGTTTACACACAGAAATATCTGAAGGGATGATTTTCCCACTCATTTTTTCAGGACAACTTGTTAAATGGGACACAAATGAACTGCAAGGGAGCCTCCAAATCATTAATTCCTCTTAATTAAGACGTTCAGCTGCAGTCGGACGTGGAGGTCGTTGAAATTCTGGGATTTTAATGTTTTTATTCCAGAACCGCTCCTTTTCCAGAGTGCAAAGATTACGCAACACGCAGCTTCAATCGTTTCACAAACAAGAACTGGGAGCACTGGACTGAATTTATTGAAGATTTTCTCTGATGCACTTGAGTAAGAAAGATACAAGCCGGCTCAAACACACACACCGTTATGTGATTAAACGTCCTTTAGCTAGTTGCACCTCACCCAATTCTACCTGGATATTATATACTTTGTATATATATATGTATATATATATATATATACACACACCATATTTTCCAGCGTATAAGTTGCATCAGTCAAAAAAAGCATGATGAAGAGGAAAAAAAAAACATATGTAAGTCACTTCGGCATTTAAGTCACATTTATTATGCGTTTATTTAATGGTCAAAACACATCCATCCATCCATCCACCCATCCATCCATCCATCCACCCACCCATCCATCCATCCATCCATCCATCCACCCATCCATCCATCCATCCATCCATCCATCCCGGCCGAAGTTGCTAGCTCTCTAGCGTTCATCCGCTTGCACCAGCTGAGTGAAGTGAGCGCGCACCGGAGGACTCGCTGTTGCAGTTCTTCAAAATTTAAAGTGTCAGTCAAAAATTGCGTTTATGAATATGGAAAAACAACGTATACAAGTCGCTTCGGCGTATAAGTTGTAGGACTGACGAATCTATGCAAAAAACTGTGACTTGTATGCCAGAAAATACGGTAAACGCACAGTGTATAAGGTACACACACAGTGTATAAGGTACACGCACAGTGTATACGGTACACGCACAGTGTATAAGGTACACACACAGTGTATACGGTACACACACTGTGTATACGGTACACACACTGTGTATACGGTACACACACTGTGTATACGGTACACACACAGTGTATACGGTACACACACAGTATATAAGTTACACACACCATGAATACAGTACATATAGTGGCCTTGGCCACCATAGATTAATCTATGTCCATCCTAAGGACCACCCCAAACAACTGAGGAGGCAGTGTTTCCCTTAGACAACTTTTTAGCTAGTATGCCTGTGTATTGCGCGCTGCTAGCTTAGCGTTACGTCAGTGCTGACGGAAGTGTGCGTGGAGGGCGTGCTTGCAGTTTGGTTTGGTAGGTGGGGCGCCCTGCTGGTATAATGGTAGGGTGCCCTGCCCCGTCAACAGAACAGAGCACCCTGCCTACAGACACCCCCCCCCCCACCCATCGACATCTGTCAGTATTGATGTAGCGAAGGGCACAATACAAACACGCTAGCAAAAATGCTACTGACGTACTGCTCCGCTTTCCCCCCCCCCCCCATCCTGTTGACAATTAAAGGCAGCAGCCTAGCGTTAAACACCGATGTGACCCCCCCCACCGCTCAACAACTGCCGGTACAAACAGCATGCGTTCAGACGTGCGTCTCCCCCCTCCCACCCTCCAGTCGACAAAAATCACGGACGAGATGAGTGCCCCACCACGGCAAGTTTTCTAGAGAAAACACTGTGGTTGTTTGTCTCGTTTGTGTCCATGTGTCCCTGTGGTGGACTTGCAACCTGTCCAGAGTGTCCCCCGCCTCTCCCACAGTGACAGCTGGATATGGGCACCAGTGACCCCCACGCTCCGAAAAGGAAACAGCAGGTAAAAGATAAAGGATGGATTTTGGCTCGTACATTTCAGTCGACCTTGAAAGCATCACTTCTTGCTTCCAACAAAGTTCAGTCAGGTCCTCTGGACGGTTTCTTTTCTTGTTGAGACATTTCGTCCTTCATCCAAAGGACTTCATCAGTCCGAGGAGCTACAAACAAACAGAGTCCCACAAGCAGCACACTCACATAGTGGGCCAACCACTTTGAACTGGCTTGTATACTATGTGAGTGTGCTGCTTGTGGGACTCTGTTTGTTTGTAGCTCCT